AATTGCAAATACTATTTTATTTCAGAACAAAAGACATTTTTCATTGTACAAAATGTGACTTGATCAGCTTCTCACTGTGTACAAACTGCGTCATTTTTGCGAGATGACGTCGCATTGACAAGTGCATTGCGATCGTTTATATACTGTTGTGTTGTATTTAACAAACGACCAAACTGCATGTAATAGTAAGTTTATATATAGTATACAGCTAACCAGCTGTTAGAAATAGCAAATAATTTCAATTGTGGTATATTAAGAACCTTATATTATGTGTGACGTCATAGTAAACATTTCCCATACAATTTAGGCCGCGCCTTCTTACTTTAACCTTAACTGTGCTGCGTTACGTCTTTTGATTTTGCATCTGTCACTTCCGGTCGACAGAGAAAGTGATGTTTAATTTCAAGATTTTTTGGAAAAAAACCTAACCGTATTGAATTAAGGCAAATAGAACTTATGTTAACATTCACAATCTTTAACAAAAGCATCCTTTGAAAGTACTTCCGGTTTAAACTGGAAGTAGTTGAAAAAATTAAACTTTCTCTCTTAAATCAAAAGAAATAGAATAAAATGGATTAATTTGAGCTTTTCAATTTTTTTCTGACCTTGTGTCTCTCATCCCTCGACAACACTTCCGGTCAAACCGGACGTAGCCAGAAATAGCTTATTTTGCAGATTTTAACACAAAATGTAAATTTAAAGGCAGTGAATACGTTTTAACTCGTTGCTTTCTCTTGTTGACGTCACTTCCGGTGAAAACAGGACGAAAGACCTAATCGTTGCTTTACAACGAGCTTTGCTCTAGTTTTTTTCTTCCAATGCTTTTCTTGTCTTAAAAATACATCATCATTCATCTAGTTTTGTTTTGGTATTTTTTTCTTTTTCGAGAAATACTTATTTTCTATTTAATTTCTTATGCGATATAAAAAAAGTGTACTAGTATAATAGCAATTTTTTAAAACTTAACCTTTTACCTTGTCTTGATCACGGTCACATCAAAAGAGTACAGGAAAAATAAAATAAAAAGTAAATATAAAATTTCATGCCAAAGGATATTTATAGCAAACTTCAAGTATAGATACTTTGAAACCTGAGTAACCAATTATTAACCTTTTCTCTCCTGTGTTCAATTTTGAAAGCTGCATCAAATGATACAAGAAAACATTGATGTAACCATCAATTGTCGCCCGGTAAATATATAAAGTAAACAATGGAAATGAGTTTTGATCATCAAACCACTTCGATATGTGTGAAAAGGCATGCGTCTAATTGATGGAGACGATAGTCGCGAATATTTTGAAAACTTGTAGTCGGATAAAAATCAAACAAAAACGATACCATTTTAAACTTGATCAATTCCTCAAGTAAATGTTGGCTGCATAAAATATAAATTGAAGTTAGACACATGCATCACCTATATTCAAAATGTATCAATTTTCAATCATAGAATATAAAACACGAACTGTGCACAGTATACGTTTTTATGCGAGAAGTAAAATTCGATGTTCTAAAAAAGGGGACCTGTCGTTTTTTCGAAAGTAAATGATAAGCAAATTGTATATATTAGATTTGAAAACATATATTTTTTTTTTACAGATTCGCTTTATTGAAGTAAATATAATGTGTATCTTGTAATTTATAACGGGAAAAACATTCTGATTATCAATCTTTTAAATGTTTAGAAAACGTTTAATTCTGAATAATTTCTCCCACCTCAATCCCCATACACCAACAGTTAAACTTATATGTATAGAGCAGCCCGGTCAATAAGATTTATGAAGAACGAATAATTTAATTTTTCGTTAGATTCATCTATATATTTAATTGAAAGATGAATAAGAAAATTGATGTGAGACATATGTTCAAACTTAAATATGATAGACCAGTTGAAATAAATGCAAATTTACATAATAATTTTTTTTAATGAATTCGAAGAGGCCTTGCATAATGACACAATATTGAATAGATGAAGGTACATATATATCTTAATATATATACTTGATTTTTACCTCTCAATACTATTTACTCCTTGAGCAACTTTCCTTTACTTATATCTGAATCTTCACTGTTCTTTAGAGAATCGAGGTGGAAAAACTGTCCTCCTTCTGTCATACTCTGAAAGTGCTGATCACAGGTCTTTCAGTTGCTGAACTTCTGCTGTGGTCAGTGTGGTCTTGTCTCCTAGCTAGTGTCACCAAATGTCCCCCAAGATAAGCACTTCTGTTTATCCAGGAATGTTGTCTGACCCTACTGTGCCCTTAATCAAGAATTATACAAATGATAATCACATACTAGGTATGTATTGAAGGAAAGATATTAACTACGTGCAAATCTAGTGAAATGATGACTTGATATATAAAAATCAATGAATTTACCCATATTAAAATAATGAATGTCATTAATATTTTTAATTAACATAATTATTCTGCATTACCAGACTGTAAACATTATCACAAATAGCTCTGCTTACAATAACGATCGTCCAAACATGAATAGCTCCTGGTCATTTCAACGTTTTTCTCGTCGTAAAAACGTATCATCATTAATAAAGTTTTGTTCTTTTAACATTTTAAAAGTAAAACTTTCACAAGGTTATTTATTTGTTTGAATAGAAAAAACTAAATGGTATCATTAACCACGCCACATAAAAAGAGTACAGAGAAAGTGAAAATCAACTTTATGTCCAAGGATATATTTTTTGCTTACTTCATCGTATCATATCAAAGACCTTTGAAAATTGCGCAACCAATGATTACATGTATCTGTTGACATGCTTTTGTCTCATTATTTGACCAAAGTCAAGAAAAAAATCCTCATTGTAAGTGTTTTTGTTTACTGTATTCATGTCTGAAAGCTGTTTCATATACATCATACGCGTCATACATGCAGACTGAAAATTTTAAGTTTCTTAAGATATATCTACATGTATTCATTTAATCATAAAGAACATCAAATAAACTGAAAAGAGAAATATATCAGTATACATGCGAGAAGTTCAAACTTAAAAAAAAATAAAATTCAATAAAACTTGTTTCTTAAATGGAAACTAGAAGATAACAACTCATGCATGTTTTTGAAGACCTCTCCAATGGGAAACTTGGTGAAAATTGCAGTTTACTTTTGATCGAGAATATATGTGATAAACCATTCACTGAACCAAACTTCTCTAAGTGTTCACCTTACATTATTTTAAGTTTTAATGAACAAATGCATACAATAAATAATTCCCTTTATTTATGGTTAATGATGTATATATTTTAGTTCGATGTTGCGTAAATGTCATGTAAGTATCTCGTCAGAATTTTATGCAAAGTGTCAAGGAAATTATGTACCATCAAAATGAAAATTCACATAAAATAATCTTTATGGAGTAAGACCACCACTCGCTCTAATGACTTTAGGACATCCTTTACTGTTGGATACTATGTACCCCTGACTAGGAGATTGACACATCTGCTGCCACACCTGCTGTCTAGATCTTTCCAAACCGTCAAAAGTGTGGGGAGGAGGGGAAGAGGGCTTTGTCATTCCACATAGAAATCCCAGTTGTGTTCCATGGGATTAAGACCCGGGAATTTGGCAGTGCATCATGTCACAGATGCCTTTTGGTCAAGATCGTTGGGCGTTTATCACGTACGTGCACCGCTTTAAGGATGAATCCGACAGTTTAAGATGATATAAGACTTCCACGAGCACCGATTTTTTTTATCATTTTCATACGATTAAAAGTGTTTGTTTTCATGTTTCTAAAATTCTTTCTGGGCAATTTAATACTCTTTTAACCTGGTGTGACACAAAACATTGGCCTCAGATTAAGATACTAGTATCCACTTCCGGTTTGATTAAATATTGTCCAAATCTTTCAAATTGTGATAAATTGGCGATGAAAATGACTAAAAACAAAAAAAATGATTAAAAACTAAAATAAAAGTAAGTAAATCGTGGTGCAAGGATGATCCAGATACGAAGATTCCAACGGCTCTCCCTTCTTTCCTAATGGTCATCCATATTGCCAATGTTTTGTGATTTTTAGTGAAACCAGTTTTTAAAATTTGATAATGATCACAAAAAGATGCTAATTACACAAAACACGTGCCGCAAAATACAGGTTTATTGTTTTTAAGCTTCGTCACGGAATGTTGGTTTTCATTGGTGATATTTGATTTTCTTTCAACAATTGTTAGGAAGACTTATGGCAAGCCCTTTTGCTATTTATTCTGAAAATAAAAGGACAAGGTATGGTTTCTATATAGATATTGCCCTGTGATTTTCTAAAAAATGAAAATGGTGTAAAAGATGAAAACTAATGCTTTCTAAATCATTGAAGATCCATGCATAAAAATCATACAAACCATTTTTCTAACATGTGTTTTAATAAGTAATTGTGAGGTCATAAACTTGGGCACTTTCCCGTATTTTCTTCAAAAGTTGCAGAAGACACCAATTTTCAATTGAATTTCTTTCTGAAAATGTTGTTCACCGACATCACCCATAAAGATTTTTAAATATGTGATTTTTTTTTTTTTACAAAAAGTGAAAGTGGGCGACGGCTGTAGACACTATTTTCTAAAGGAAAATTACCCTTGAAATTGGCTAATTTGAGTTTTATTCTTTTAAAAATACAGAAATGCTTCACATTAATGACGTCATATTTGCCCTGATATTGGAATAGGTTTCTACCAGAATTCAACTTTTGCAAACCCAAGTGAATTTTCAATGTATGTTGACATCATTGCGATATTCAAGCTCAACATAAACATATTTGCGTGTTTTTCTGTCACCAATTTGACAAGATCAAGTAACTTGTAAAAAGTGAAATATTAGATACCAATAATGTGTTTATATTTATACCTTGATGATGAGAAGGCTATAGATGTGACATATGGTGCATTGGGTATCAGGTTTCCATATTTTCACATGAAAATGAATAATTTATATGTTCAACCCACATAAAGTTACATATAAAAATAAAAGTATAAATAAGTGCTGGTATCATAATTGATTTGATCCACCACAATGTTTCAGATAACTGTTTTCCTAAGCACTTGTCTTTCTTTGGTAGCGATGGCATGGTGCAATTGTCCTTGCAAGAAGAACATCGAATATTACAACATCTGTATGAAGTCAGCCCAAAACAGCAACAACGCATGTGGACTCCACCTAGCCGAATATGATGCATGTATAAAGAAGAAATTTACGCATTTAGAGTCTAAAGTTGAATCCATTGAGAGCTCTCTAAACAGAACATGTAAGTTTGTACTTCTTTGTTTGATCGAATTCTATCCGATATTACTATTCAAAAAACAAGAGGCCTATAGCTATGGGACGCATCGCTTATCTGAGCACTTTGTCTAGAGAAAAGTAGACCGTGTCAACATTGAAAGGTTTATACTTTTGAATGTCATGTGGTACAAATCTAATAAAGGATGGGTGAACAGAATTGAAGCAAAACTAACTGAAAATGCCTTGGTATTCCTGCAACTTATCGAGGCTTTAAAAGATTATAAAAGATTTTTTCTATATACTAGTATTCTATGTAAATGGTTGATCTGGTGCCTTCTCCCTACCCATGACGGGTACTTCCCTCCCATGGCGGATACTTGAACAAACTTGAATATGCACTACTTGTGGATTATTCTCTATCAATATGGCTAATATCGGATTTGCTGTTCTTGAAAAGAAAGAATGTTCCCAATACGTCCTCATAATTTTATTCGATGAGGTGGCCTGACACCATGGAATAAATTTAGAGCTGCATTATATAAAACTACTAAAGCTTTTACATTAGTTTCATCTTTTGCACAGTGGTTTTTAAGATGAAGATATTTGTGAACAAATTTAAATCCCTTTTACCAAAAGATTCTTTGTGACAAGTGTGGTTGTTGGCTCAGTGGATCTGATAGAAAATTAAGAATTAAATTTTAAAACAGAACAAACGAAGAATAATAAACTGAAGCCGGCACTTTTCGGTCGTAAAAGCTCAACGATCCACTAAGGTAAGCGAAAACAAATTTTCAAAAAAGAAGAAAAAAAAATTAAATGCTATTTTAACATTGTCATTTCAGCTCATCATGTCTCATTTATGGCGACTGCTTCACGCAATATAAGACCCACCATTGGAACTCTCATTTTTGACAAAGTTCTCACCAATAAGGGAGGAGCCTATAACGGCAAGACTGGTGTCTTTACCGCCCCCGTATCCGGATCATACTTCTTCATGGTCACCATGAGTATACCAACCCCAACACCCGCAAATGGCAGGGACTACGTAAGGATGAATATAATAAAGAACGGCCAATTATCCGGGTTCTTTTTTATCGGAACTCAAGGAGTATGGATCAAAAGATCAGAAAATACTTTACTGGAGCTTTCAAAGGGAGACAAAGTAAATATGAACGTCAAAACGACAGGAAGTGGGTTTTCCTACATTGCTGGAAACTATTATTACTCTCACTTCTCAGGGTTTTTAATCAATTGAAGCATTTTTATTTGTTACAATTGAATAAAGTTGCAAATATCGAGGTAAATCATTGTAATTTTTACCAGTAACCAGTAAGTACAGTTTCTAGATCAATAAAATTATTTCTGAATCATACGAAGAAATCATTATATAATTCTGATCTAATTTTTTTTAAAGATTTCCTGTGTTTTGATTGGACGAGAACAAATTGAAAAAAAGTTTTCACATCAATAAATATATCCATAGGCGCTCCCCGTGTAAATTTGTGGGTGACTGAAGAAATTATCGCGCAATTACTAGTCTATATACTGTAGGTCTTCATTTTACAGTAGAGTTGGGTAGACCTATGTAGATAATCATTTCGTCATATCTACAATCTTACTTTGGGAGCGCTCATAAATTTCTCAATCAGCACTATACTTTCTTGAGATAAATCATCTTTTAGTCTGTTCAAGCTATAGCAAACCTTTTTGCTTTTTATTCGAAAAATAAAAGTAAACTTAAAATTAGAGGGATATCTCTCATTTTAGAGAAATATTAAAAAAATAGAGATATCTCTCATACTTAGAGAGATATCTCTTTTGCTATGAGAGCCATCTTTTCCACGTAAAGAGATATCTCTGTCACCTAGAGAGGCGTCTCTTTCATTTAGAGAGATATCTCTTTTGCTTTTGGAGGTGTCTTTCCAAGTAAAAGAGATCTCTTTCAAACTAAAAGAGATATTTCTCTTGTAAGTTTACTTCAGAGCTATCTCTCAAAGTGAAAGAGATATCTTTCAAATACGTCCAAAAGAGTTGAATTATTTCCTGATATGAGAAATTCCATTGCAGTTGAGAGTATATGCTTCGTTCGTTTTTCTGAATATAAAGCTTTGTGGCGCTGCACTTTGAAAAATACGCAGTTTGAAAAAAAGTCAACGTGCGTTAAAACTGAGACAAAATCAACAACCTGTTTTTTTTTCAAAGTGCGTTAGAAATGTTCATTAATATTTTTTCCATGGAGGTACTTAACACACTTCGAACAAAAAATGTTTAAAATAAAAACTCCGGACTTAGATTTCATTTAAAGCCACATTATTTTCTAATATTTCTTACGAATAAACGATGAATTTATTTATCCTCATTGAGAAATTGAAAACAGGTAAATGACCCTCAGTCCATTTCTTTATTATTTCCTACCCAAATATACCGGTATGTATTCATGTTTTCTCATTTAATTATAAGCTTTCCACAAAAATGATAATAACAGACCCTCCTGTAAATGTATTATAGAAAGGATGCTCATAGGCCATATCGCTGATCTAAGCAACAATACTAGTAGCTAACTGACTAAACTCTGCCGAATCCAACTTTATACATAATCATATAAAAATCAAAAAAAAAAAAAAAATACTATCTATTCTATACAATTTAAATAACTATTAATATAAATAAAGACAGGAATAAGAAATTTTTATTATGCTTACACTTACATGTATCAAATAACAAGAGGCCCAGGAACCACATCGCTCACCTGAGCACATCGGCCAGGAAAAAGCACAGATCAGGTCAGAACTGAAAAGTTTACTGAGGGGGGGGGGGGGATGGTGTCCTACCCTCCAAATCCCAAAAGGCCATGATTTGAACAAATTTAAATCTTCAACATGAGGATGCTTATATGTTAATATGACTAAACATAGCTTTTCTGTTCTTGGGATTTTTCCTTTATTTTTCTATGTAAAATTTTCATCGACCATTGTGGCTCCGCCCTACCCCCCAAGGTCATGATTTGAACAAACTTGAATCTACTCTACCTGAGGATGATTTCACATGAGTTTCATCTTTCCTGAACCAGTGGTTCTTGAGAAGAAGATTTTTAAAGCCTTTCCTAACATATTTCCATGTAAAACTTTGATCGGCCCTTGTGGGGCCCCACCCTACCCCCAGGGGTCATGATTTGAACAAACTTGAATCTACACTACCTGAGAATGATTCAGCATGAGTTTCATCTTTCCTGACCCGATGGTTCTTGAGCAGAAAATTTTTAAAGACTTTTCCTACATATTTCTATGTAAAACTTTGATCGGCCCTTGTAGCCCCACCCTACCCGCAGGGGTCATGATTTGAACAAACCTGAATCTACACTACCTGAAGATGATTCCACATGAGTTTCATTTTTCCTGGCCCAGTAGTTCTTGAGAAGAAGATTTTTTTAAAATTCCATTAATTTTTCATTAATTTGTAATTATCTCCCCTTGGAAGAGAGCGTGGCCCTTCATTTGGACAAACTTTAATTCCCTTTACCCAAGAATACTTTGTAGCAAGTTTGGTTGAAATTGGCCCAGTGGTTCTTGAGAAGAAGATGAAAATGTAAATAAAAAGTTTACCATGACAACGACGACGACAACAACGACAGACAGCGGACAAATTTTGATCAGAAAAGTTCACTTGAGCCTTCGGCTCAGGTGAGCTAAAAAGACCGTAATATTGCGTTGGAAAAATTATTGCTCTCAACTAAATAAACACCAGGATGGCAACGTGATTTGGGGTACCCAACTAGATAAATAGATCTGTGTTGGATCAGAAATATTTCGCGACTAATTCAGTATCCGGAGTGTGTGTGCAATTTATTTAAGTTAAGAACCCTGATCTGCTTGATGACAACGGGCCGTGCATGGCCCCTTTTCCACCTTGTGGACGTGTCTTTAAAGAACTATATATATGCCTTTGATTCCTTTTCCGGCTCTACCTTTTGAAATCTTCAAACGACACATTCTTTTTCAGTTAGTTTTAAATGCAGATTTACTAAATTATCTTGGTTACAGTCAGATTAAAATCAATTTAAGGAAAGATATGGAGATAACAAAAAGTTTTCAACATGCATGTACACATTGTCACATTTGATCTCCCTAAACACATTTACTTGTTTTCTCAATGACTGGCCCCACTCTGCCAATATTACATCTCTTCTTTGTTTCTTTATGGAAAAAACAGGATTTTTCCCTGTGTTTCATTCTTAACATTAACTTTTAATTTAAACTTCTTAAGTGATAAATCTAAAAACTATAATTATATTTGATTATTATATTAAATAGATTTTTAATCTAAAAACTAGGCATCACTTTCAGGACTTGGTTCTCCTCGTCATAAAATCTGCACAACTTTGTGATATCTGAGTACATTGTGTTGTGCATTACACATTTACAACTGAAGATTCTGTCGCATGAAGCACTACATTTTGAGAACACGTGTAATTAAAAACATCGCTGAAACATCATCAGTGACTTCATTGTATACCGAAATACATACCATTTTCTGTGTTATTTTGGTATCAACGTATAAAAGTAAATTTAGAGAGACGTAAATTAAGCGATTTTTCCTTAAAACTTCGTATTTTATTTTTAGCGAAAAAGTAATTTTAGCGATTTTGAAATGCTCACTTTAGAGACCATTACAAATAAAACACTCAAGCATTACTTAATTTTAGCGATCTTATCACCCTCACTAATAATGCGAAAATTAAATCCCCGCTAGAATTATGCCAATACGGTATGTTACAACGCACTTTGAAAAAATTGTCAAAGTGGCTTAAATTTGAGACCACATCAAAGCACTTTGAAAAAATAAAATTTATTTTCAAAGTGCGTTAATATCGACCATATTAACGCACTTTGAAAAAATCTGTATGGCTGGGTCGAAATTCTTGAAAATTTTAGTTATGATAGATAATTGAACCTGTTTGATAACTCTTCGGTGATGATCAGGTCACTTCAGTATTTGAAAGTGAGCGATTTTCATTTTCCATGCTTTGAAAATTCTTTCTCTCTAAAATGTTTTGCTGTACTTATTTTTTTCCAGTTTGCATGCATTTTATTTAAACTAAAATTTATTGAAAGTTTTCAACGTTATACCAGTTACGCAAATACATGTTGTACATATATTTTGTGTAGCTTAGGCACACATTTGTTTTGCAAAGATATACATAATATAGGCATTGAAAATTGGGGCTTCCCTTGGGGGCTTGGGGTTTCCACTTTCAATTTGCTACCGACAGCTACAAATGTATGTACAGTGTATAAGAAAAAAAAAATTAAGCTGAGAGACCTTCTTCTCGTCTTCTCCTTGATCTCATTGAGGTTAATTATAAATACGTACATGTAAATTAAAAAGTTTTTCGAAAGACATATAATTACATGTACTATATACAAAGTGATTCTCTCACTTACTAAAATCTTAGTCTAGAATTTTTATTTTTATACATTTTTTTTCAAAGTGCGTTAAATGTTCCCGTGTTAAAAATGTCTATGTACACTCTTAAGGCACTTTGAAAAAAAATTTCAAAGTGCGTTGAGTGTGTCCCAAATCTAACGCACTTTGAAAAAGCATTTTCAAAGTGCGTTGATTTTGTCCCAATTTTAACGCACTTTTGAAAAAAAAAATTCAAAGTGCGTTGCCACAACGGTATAATACTTATAATTCAGATTATGTATATTAAGATATGTGATATCATGTATATTATGAAACACCTTGTTCTTACCCGTCATTGAAACAGATTTGAATTTTCCTTTTGTAATGAGTTCTTTGGAATTTTGTACGGCTGAGATAAAAGAACAAATTGTTAACAAAAAAAATTATTTATGAAAATAAACAAAAAAATAATGATAATATTCTCTCTCCCTCCTTTCCCACAACACTCAAACAAGAAATAATATGAAACAGTAATAAATTAAACAAATATCTGATACAATGTAAATTACATTAAATCAACAGTCCTTTTGTTCAATTCGCGTATCAGATACAAAGATTTACAATAAGGATATGGAGATAACGAACAGTATTCAATTTCAAAGTCCATTAAACAATACAAAACAGGAGCAGAGCAAACACGGACCTCCGAAACATCAGAGGTGGGATCAGGTGCCATGGAGAAGTGAGCATCCCCTGCCCACCGGTCACACCCGCCATGTGCTCCTTGTCACGATCAGGAAACAAATAGGTGTTCTTTATTAGAAATTAGACAAAGTTCACTTTAATCAATTA